TTAGGCAGCTCTGCAGACACAGTTATAAACATTCTCACTTCATATGTGAAAGACAGTAAGTTAAAAACAAACAAAAAAAACCAAGATCAAAATAATAATGTAACCTATGATGAAAATACTTTTAAATTTCCAGCCACTTTAAAGATTCCTATTCTAYAAATATAAAAAAAATCTATGCAAAGCATAAGCTGATCGACCTTTCAAACTGTYAAACACCAGATTTAACAGTGAATTTTAATTATGTACCCATGCAGGTAAGATTATTTCCTATCAGAAATTCTTCCCCATCAAGAGTTACACAGCACACAAAAGTAAGCAACTGCCATCAAAAGTTTAAAGTGGGAAAAGTAAGCCCTCTTCCTCCTCCAGGTGTACTGTAAAAAGTTACTGAAGAGAAAGGAAAAAAAAAGCCCATGTCAAGCCTCAATTATCAAAATAACAACTGTGATGCTTTAATTCTGTCTTATTAATTATGTAAAACATACAATATGACAACACTGCTCACTCTTTTGTATAACAAAATATAATTTATGCATGTTTTAATGTAACTACCACTAAACATCCAGGTGAAATGTCTACTCCTGCCTTTTTCAAGGACACCTGACAGTAGCCCAAAGCTCACCATACACTAGTYCCTGTCTCAGAACTAGTCACGTTTCTCTTTAGTACAAAAATTACTGAAGCATCAAATCACCTTTCTGGCATCAATAACAATGTGATTTTTAAAGACTCTGCGGGCAGGGAAGGAGATATCTCACCTTGCCACAGAAGGAGCAGGTATACTTGGCATGCTGGCTGATTTCAATCTTCTTCACCATTTTCCTAAGGGATGCACCATAACGGGTCCCATATTTACCCACGATCCCGACCTTCTTGGTGCGCTTCGCCTGTTGGGGGCAAACCAGAATAAGCTTCAACTCTACAGAGACAGTCTTCTCCTTGCTGCTCCCCTCTCCCGACATGGCAGCTGAGTGCTGAGCACCCTGAAGCCTCCCCCTGACGCTGGAAAAACTGAGTATCCAGTCATGGAATGAGTTGGGTTGGAAAGGACCACAGTGATACCTGGTCCAACCTCCCTATTCAAATAGGATCTCCCCCGAGCACATGGCACAGGAGTGCATCCAGACAATTCCCGAGTATCTCCAATGAGGGAGATTCCACACCCTCTCTGGGCAGCCCATTCCAGGGCTCAGTCGCTGCAGAGTAAAGAAGTTCTTCCTCACGTTCAGGTGGAACTTCCTGTGCATCAGTTTCTGCCCATTTCTCCTACTGCTTGKCACCACTGACAAGAGCCTGACTCCTGCCTCTTGTTAGCCCCTTTTAGATATCTGTATACTATTTTAATTATTATATATTTAGATAAGATCCCTTCTCAATCGCTTCTCCTCGAGGCTGAACAGCCCACCTCCCTCAGCCTGTACTCTTCAGAGAGTTGTTCCAGTCCCCCATTCCTCCTTGCTGCCCTCCCCTGGAGAATCAGTGATGAAATTCCGCCCGGCTGGCGCTGCTGCAGCCTCCCAGYCCCTGCCGGCGCACCTCGGGCGGCGGTGCGGCCAACATGCCCGAGCAGAGCTCTGTCCCTCGCCGGGGCCAGCCGGTGCGGCTGCAGTCCCGTCTCTGCCCCAGCCCCGGCTGCCATTACCCTCACCCAGGCCGCCTCCCCCCGGCCGCCCGGGCGGAGCGAGCCGCTGGCGCAGCACGGAACCGGGAGCGGCTGAGGGACGCGGCGCACCCCCGGCCCCGGCCCCGCGCTGCCCCGAGGCCTCAGCGCGGCGGCACCGCCGCCGATGGCAGCGGATGGCGGCGGACAGGCCCGGCCTCACTCACCATCTTTGCCGGCACCGACGCGGAGAGGGAGGCGCAGTGCGCAGGCGCGGGCGGGCCGGTGTGGGAGGAAGTGACGCGGGGCAGATGGGGCGGGAGGCGCCCCTCAGTGATCCCCGCTCCGCTCCGCAAACACCGGCACAGCTCCGTTACCACTGCCCCGAGAGCTTGTGGAGGCTTCCGCACTGCAGATGTATTACGAGTTACAATCATACATACATTACGAGTATGCAATCCTGTGCCGTGTCCTCCGGGATAGCCCTGCTTGAGCGGGGAGGTTGGACCGGATGAGCACTGTGGTCCTTCCCAGCCTGGCCCATCCTCTGGAGCCCCGTGTGAGACCCAGGCAGAAGGTGAGACCGAGCACCGCTGGAGCTCAGTCCTGAGTTTACAGGTTTCCTCCGAGAGGTCTCACCAGGAAAGGAGATGGGGCAGTTCCATTCACTCATGTCACTTTTAGAAGAGAACAAGCAGCAGGTAGATGTGGAAACAGGGACAGAAAATACGACCAGAATTGCAGAAAAGTAATAATAAATACATATATAAATCAGTAAGGAAGAATTTTTAACACATACAAGCCCTAGAACATGAGGTTTCAAGAGTTTTTGTATCTGGGTTCAGGCAATTTCCTACTTTCCTTGGGGTCACCCAGTGCTATAACAACCATGAAAGCCTTCATGTTATGCTGCAGAGGTGACTCGCAGCACCAAAATACTGCGAGAGGAAAACACACTAATGCCACCGAGCTGCAGTGCTTGTAAAGGGATTAGCAACCCACTAACCTCCATTAAGAAATGTAATCCAGTTAGCCTGAGAGCTTTTTGATGTGCMGAGCCAGCTACGGTTCATCCCCCTCCTGCTTTATCCCCTCCTGCCAGGAGAGGGCCTGAGCTTCACAGTCCTCCTAGAGAAACCATCTCCAGGTGCTTGTTTGCAAGGTAATTTTTCTCCACACCCACCCTGGCTGCCTCAACCCATGACAGTTCACTTACAGTCTTAGTTAAGACGGAATTAAGGAATCGAGTGTACCCYGCCCCTGTGTTATTTTCTCTGACTGGGGTCTGTTCTTTAAGGGATGCTTATGGACATTTGTCACATTCCCTTTGGCTTTTGTTTTGAGGGTTTGAACACTGACATTTTTAATTCCCTCTGTCATGCCAGGCTCCTCATTCCCTGATCATCTCTGCAAGCTCTTCTGGGAGCTGGTGTGCCAGAGCATTGTTTGAGATGAGGGCTCAGCAGGGCTTTAGGCAATGGTATTTATATCTCCCTCTGTTGAATCAAAATCTCATTTGATACATCCTAGGAATATATTTGCCCTTTTCAGATCTTCGTCATAATGATGACTCACAGGATACAGCTTTGATACCAATGTATTAGGAAACAGAAAAGAAAAATAAGTTCCTTTGGCTGCTTAGTGATGATATGGTTAAAAAAATATAAATTGTCAGCCAACACATCAAGAGAGTCTATTGCTATTCTCTGGTCAGTATCTACAGAGCTCAAGTTTGTTGTGACAGTACAGCACGTGGTCATATCCTTCATCTACCAGCATCACAGACAGCTCTGGCAACAACCAAGCCCAGCTCTCACCCCACGGTGACAGCCATTCCCAGCACTGCCAAAGTAAACACACCTTTCCAAATTACTGAGAATATGAAGGGCACTGGCCAGCACTGCCTTGCCCAAATAGTTCAACCCTTGGAACTCTTCAGCACAGGAAACTGGCCAGTTGGGGGCATGCAGAAGACTTGATTGGAACRGTTCCAGCTTATTGTTCAGGTATTTTTACCTGTTGCTGTTTYGGCACCCTTCCTGAAAACCTTTCTCCAGCACCTGCAGGAGCAACTGATGGAGGTGTACAAAGCAGGGATCCAGCCATAGTAAGATGCTCCAAGATCCAGTAAGATGGTCCTTCCCTTTTGTCTACTGGTTTTAGATAATGCCAAAAAGGTACAGCTCTATTGTCTTCAGTGGGCAGGTGCAAGAGTCCCCATGAGTCTGCCTGTGGGTCTCACTGGCAACCTGCACACGGCTTTATACRGGTTCTCATCAGCAAGCCTTGGAGAGCCTGTCTGAACCTGCTGGCAGCTGCCCAGCCACCTCCTCACCCTATTAATGATGGACTAATGGTGCCATCAGGATAAGGCCTGCAATCTTTCCAATCCCTCGAAGTAATCACTAACAGCACTTTCCTGCAAGGTTCTTCTTCCCCTTTTCTCATAGCAAAGAAAGGCAATCTCAAGGGTACTTAAAAAACCTCTCTATCTCTGCAGCAAACCAACTGTGATTTTATAGGTCCTAACAAAGGAAAGGTACACCTAGAATTCCTCTTCCAGGGCTGGGATTTACCAACACATGGGCARGATGAATTGAGTTCATAAGAAGCAGAATTCTCCCAGGGTACTTTCTGTGTATCTTAGAAAAATRCTGTTTTGAAATAGCTGTAACTTTACAAAAAAGAGAACTGCTTCTATAGGAGCTAACAAGATGGTCACACAAATAATACCTTTTGCATTTTTTTTCAGTCAGCAGACAGCAACATTTCTCACCCTTCTCAGAACAACCCACTTCAGAATTAGAAAGAKCACTCGTCCTAAAGACAGATTAAATACTCTGTGTTCAAGATGACAGACATTTAAAAACGTCAAAAAGTGTATCTTCATTGCCTGGCCAGCTGTTGAAGCAAGAGCAGTGATGTTTAACTTAAGCCTCAAACCCAGAGATAAAGCATTCCCTCCAGCTGCCCAGTCACACACCCCATGCTACTGCTCACACACCAAAGCACCAACTGCARTCATGAATGAAAAGCAATTCTGTACCCAGCACAATTGTACACCCAACCTGTGGGGCCATTTCACCAGCTGAAAATGGAACAAACCCTTCAATGCAGGAAAAAATGCCTAGTATTTCCAGGCTGATCTTACAGCACAACCATTTTTCTCCTCTGCCTTGCAAGAGAGGTATTTTTGTCAGTGTCTGGTATCTGCACAGAGCCAAGCATGTCACTTCCACAGCATGTTACCTGCTGGCCTCCAGGAGAGAAATGTAAGGCCCTAAATGTAAGCTAAATATAAGAAGTCTGCCACCCCTTCTCTACAGATTACGGCTGTAAAACACAGCTAACTGGGAGATAAAATGCTAAAATAGAAGAAGTTCCCAAACATTGAGAATCACAACTTAAAACAACTTTTTATTTAAACAGTTCARTCCAGAATCAGTTTCTTACAAAACAAGAGAAAACGTCTGCCTGTGTCCCCCTCTCCTCACTCACCTGTAGAAATCAGTCAAGTCTCAAAGAAAACATACATACACCCTTCCCTGAGAAATCAGGCTTAATCCCTGGCAGTCAGCAAAAGCTTCCCCCTCTACTGATATAAGAAGTACATGCTATGGAGCAGGTCCTGATATTCAGCAGGAGGCCAGAGATRAGTGTGCTCAGACAGACATGTGCCTAAAACAGACAATGCACGCTTACTGGCACACAGCTACATTACTTAGTTTCAAGGTGGTGAGTTGCTCTTTTCCCTCCTCTTCCCCACCTCCACAAAACATCAAGATCTGTCTGGATCTTTTTCCCCATGGCCAAACTGAAAACTGAAGAGCCAGTTTGTGAGTGATCAAGTAATGGCCAAATGTGCCAGTGAACAAACTCCTAGAAATAGAGACCAGAATTTTTGGAAATGGAAAACTGATTGTTAAAAGCACTCTGCAGCTGCTGAKGAGTGGTTTTCTCAACAGTTCTGCCCTGGGGACAGACAACCATTGTCTGCTTTTTARACAAAACAACTGTGGAGGCTGACATGCTGAAACACAGCAGAATGGTACTTGCCCATGTCCACTCAGTCATTTGCAAAACCAGGACTGCAAACCCTGCAGGCTGCCAGGTGTGTGCTGCACATCTGTCACACTGCCTTCTCATCCTTTGAGATGAAACATGCCAGAGATACAGAAARCATCCAGTCTTTTATTTTCAAAAACTAAAAAAATAATACGTGATTGGTTTCATTTTTTTAATAAAGAAAAACTACTCTTTGAAAAACGCCTCAATACGCCGCTTTTTTTTGGGACTCGCTGAACATGTCTCTGCTTCTCTGTCTTGCAGGGCACTGCCAGAGTCAAACTCACAGCCAGCATCAGCTGCCTCCAAAAGCAAAAAATCATCAACATCATCAACATCATCTCTGCTCTCAGAGAAGGTCTTCTGGAAAAGGTCATAGATGGTCTTCTGCTTTGGATCTGGCTGAGGAAGCAGAACAGAACAGGATCTGCACTCACATTGTCATATAAAACATAGGGAGCAAAATCAAAGGACACTCCCCTTACAGAGTRCCACCTGTGTGTACAGATCATACCATATATGATACACACATCTCTCATACATACATATTAAAGAGACATATGTGACATGAAGGCTAACATGGTCTCCTTGCAGGTAGCAGGCTTGTGGAGAGTCCAAGCCAAGGCATGAATCCTGGGAGGAGTTGAACAATCTGCTCTGCAGTGTTAAAGGCAGAACAGGTGTAAAGTCACCTGTGCCAATCTAGATGTRCACAAGCCAAAGCCCATTCAGCCTCTCCCAGGGACAACCAATATTCTTTTGGGTCAATTACCTTAGGATAGTAATTAGTTGACTCAGCTGTTTCRGAGAAATTGGCTTCTGAAAGACCAGCTTCGCCCAGCACTTTGATTTTCTCCTGAATTATTGGCCTAGGAGTGATAAACAGACATTACTGAAAGGAAAAATGTACCATCAAGGACACTGCTTCATTTACTATGTGCRAATTAAAAAAGGATACAGCTGGGTATAAAAAACGGCTTTTCTACCAAACTTTGTTGGTTCCTTAGCCTGTCCTGCTCTTGTTTGTGACCCCTGTGTGCTGTCTTGGGATAATCCAATTTAAACAAGTATCAATCAATTAAWTAAGTAACTACTAGAGGATTTTGGGCAATAAACATTTGGAGAACACACACATCCAATAGGGAAACTAGCTGACTGAAACAACACAAAGGTATGAAGTGAGAACAAGAAGATGCAGCTAAAAGGGATTCCTAGTAGCCTGTGTGCTACATATCCAAAGCAAGCAACAGTAACCCCCAACAACRGATGCATGAGCATTTCAAGGACAACTCCCAGTGTGCAGCAGGAGGAAGAATCCATCACTGGCCCAAGAGACCGAGAGGTTCCAGCCACACCTGSAGACTGGACACTGAAAGATGCCAAGGCCACAGCACAATCAATGCATTTACMAAATAGCCTCATCCTCTTGTTCTTTTTCTTGTCTTTAAAAAGATGCCATTGTCTTTTCCAGAGCCATATTTCTTCCCCATTAAGCACTAATGACTGCACAGACAGCATTTCCCAAATAAAGGCAGAATTACTGTCATTAACTTTCCATGAAATTTGGGTGATGCATCAGTTCCCAGATCTTTGCATTGTAGGGTTATAATTATTTGCCATCACGATATTCTGGGAATTGCACAAGTTYATCAAGTTCATTCATTCCTTTAAACAAGGTAATAAAGATTTTGGACTTTAAATGAACCAGCTGGTGGCTAATTTCTTTTCATTATCTTCAAGGGAAGGTCAGTTCCCTTGCAGCACTAAAGATTCCTCAGACCCTCCCCACCCCCAGATGTCAAATTTCCCATCCCTAAGGACTAACGTCCACTGGTAACTCTCACTGCAGCCAGAAAGGCTCATACCACACTATCCACAGGTGGGTGAACAGCACCTTTTCACTCCATCTGAAGGGCTCACTGAAGAGCAAAAGGAAGGCAACAGTGCAGTTCTCCTCCACAGCTGCCTGCTGAAGCACTYGGCAGCCAGATTGCTTCTCAGACCTGATCTATAATACACTGAACCATCTCCAGGGTCTGCTGACTTTGAAAGTCTCAGCACTTTACAGTACCCTATCACAGGAATGTTCTGGGCTKTTATCTAAGACAATTCCTCCTTATACGGAGACTGCGGAGGTTTTAGATGCATCAGCTCTCCCAGAATTTCTCTTAAGAGCCCTTTCTTTGTCAACRAACTACTTTTATTCCTCCTGCTTGTCATGTCCACTGCAGCCAGGCCATGTCACCAGCTTGCAGCAGCCCTGACTGGCAGGTATTGATCCTCCCCTCACAGGCTGTGGAAATCAGCACTAACATTAACCCCTCAYACCACATATGTGACAAACAGTGGAAACAGGTGGCAGGAGAACCCAAGTGTCTCTCTCACTTCTTACCATAAGTAGTCATCTGCTGTGCCTTTAGCCACCAGGTAGTGAACATTAACGGAGCTGGTCTGTCCAATTCGATGTGCTCGATCTTCTGCTTGGATCAAAATCTTAACATAAAAATACAAAAAAAAAGTGAGAACTACAACATCTAAGAAATAGTGTAAGCACCAGAGAACAGGAAGATCTCATTTCTTCTGCTTAGCAACTGTTTCTCATCTGGATCCTGTAAAGACACGTATTCTCAAACACAGACTAAGCCAAGAAGTAATCTCGTACACCAGGTTCCCAAAAGGCACTAAGCACTTTTCATAATTAGAGGGTCAGCATTGATGATGGACCTTTCAGGCTGGGCAGAGTCTTAAAGAGTGGTATCAAATTAAGACAGGAGAGTGTTTCCCATTTGTGCYACCTTCCCCTACCAGCAATCTGTGTAAACCAGCCTCACAGGTTCAAGTCCAGGCATCTGTGGTTGCACAGACAGCAGAGAAAGAAAGAGAAAAACCCTAGAGAAAGTCACCTATCCATTACATCTCCTAATCAGCACTGTTTCTGCTCTCCAGGGAACATCCAACCCCTCTCCCCTCCAGGACACTCACCCCTGGGTTCCAGAAGAGCTCTGCAAACACCACCAGATCTGCAGCAGACAATGTCAGGCCCATGTTTGCAGCAGTGAGGGAAAGGACRGCCACAGCCTGCTTCTCCGAGAACTGGAACTTCTGGCACAGAGACTGCCGCTCAGCTGAAGATGTGGAGCCATCGATGCGAATGTGCTCAACGTGCTGTGAAAAGGCAGAAGATGCTGTTGGAGACCCGGTGTCTCTTTCTCACATATTCCTTCCATGCTTTAGTGGATTCCATGCCCAATGTTGCCATTGAGCAAAATTGCCAGCACCACTGTGTGTTATAGTCTGGAATGTTATCTTAAACCATTCTTCACGCTGCGCCAGCACGACCCAGAACGCCTTAGGAGTGTCCATGGAAATCTCACATGAAAACTTAGACAAGCAATTTTGAAGTCAGAGAATTGATTGGCAGGTCTATCAAGTCTCCCTACAGTACCTTAGTTCAAAAATGTAAGAACACCACAGATGTAAAGGCAGCCAGGAATGGTGGGCTTGGGTAGTTGCATTCTCCCTCTGAGGAAAGCCTGGAGAACAACAGCCACACAGGATAACACTCCTCCAAGAATTCGCAAGCTCCAGGGCAGACAGTGGAATTAAAGAACATTAAATAAAATAAAAGCCATCCAGCTAATATAAAGTGCATCCTGTGAGGCATTCACCCTGACAGCTCAGCTCTCTCGGTGAAGGGTGCACTCAGAAGCACAGCAAGTAGAAATTACCTCTGTCACTAACTGTCTTAAACTGTCTGACCAGCCATAAATCCAGGGGGCTCTTCAACAGCTTTGAAGCTGGAACAGTGATAAAGTTAAGACAAATCAGTCACTTACTTTCTTCTTCAGCTCTGCAACTACTGCATCCAGCATTATCTTGTGATGAGCAAACACCAGGAATTTATTGTTCCCACTTTCCAGTAAGTCCAGGATGTATTCTCTACATGAAAAAGAAAACCACCAAAACTCTGTAAAAATATGTGCTGAGAGAATACAGACTTGGCTCACAACAAATTCTGAAGATATTGCCCATCCATACACAAACTCTAGGAAACAGGCTCACATAAGCTGCAGTAAAGTGCAAGTATCAAGTCAAGTTTTCAATAGGCTAAAATACAGAAAGGAAAACTCCCTCATTTTTTTCTTCACCACAGACAGACAGCTGCCTACATTATACTTGGGTATCAAAGAGAATCCGTTTATTATATCCTACTTGGAACATGACATCCCAGGCCAATCAAATGAAGGACATCTATACTTAATTATAATCTCACTCAGCCATCTGTATTTCTAACTATTGCACAATCACAATATACTAAAATAATCTGTATGCAATTATATGTCCTGTGTTTACTTGGGACTGTTTTTATATCAGAAGATCTTGAAACACACTCATCATAAAAAAAAAAAAAAACAAACCCTTTTCTTGCAAGGGTTCCGACTGACAATTTACTCCAGCTTAAGAATCTAAATTCATCAGCAATTTCTAGCAGTTATCCATATGCATATAGGCTAATGGCCAATGAAAGGCAACAAGACTCCTTTTAAATGCACTTAAACGAAATCATGTAGCTTTTCCCACGGACTGGCAGCACAGCTACAGAACCCATTTCGATGCAGTAACTTGGGTTATAATCAGGTCAACCAGAGCCTGAGGAACACCTCTAAGCCCATACAAATGATACAATGTCATCTTTTCTTTGGAACAGCAAAGTTGTTGTGAAGATCAGCAATAACAAGACCTTTGCCAAATACAACACATCTTAGGTCAGCAGCAACTGTCACAAAAGACCAAGCACTTCCAGCACTGTATAAGATGGCAGACAACTTTGCAGGGTTCCTAATGTTCAGATCCCCATTACATGACGGTATTATTTAATGAAGAAATCTGGGAGAGAAGTGGGACTGCTGGATTTTAAAACAAAAACTAAAGCCAACATTCAGATAGTAAGCAGATGCCAACCAACACATCACAATTATTTTATAGCTTATTCCCACATTCTATTTAACAAATGGCAGATCATTTCAACGGAACCAACGGAAGATGTGTCACCAGGGATAAGACAGGGGAAATGCTGGTGATTGTAGGACAGTACCATTACTCAACATGGTACTGTACCTTAGCAGCTTGTAGTAATGATATTTTAATGCTACTAAACGCCAGAAAAAAATGGACTAGTTCCTACCAAAGAGTCAAGTAAACAGCACTTCATGGTTTTATATTCAGTTCACACTTGGAATTGAAATAAAAAGAAGAAAGTCTTYTAACTGTTCACTAACATAAAATGAAGAAAGTCTTCTACAGAAATGAATGTTGGGACTATGAAATACAGTTCTGTGCCAAACAGGCAAATTTTGCASCAAGGTCTTTTACTGTGAAATCACACACAGCACACTAGTTGGTCCTTACATTCAGGGAGCTGTGGAAACGAAACCATTTTCATGTTATTAGCATATTACTTATTAGAAAGTTATGCTATGACCTAAAGCAACTTCTTTGCAGTCCCAGCAAAAAGGCTGAGGATGGAAGGGCACAGAAAGAAATTATTTCTAGGGAAAAGAGTTAAAAGCACACCTGTGGTACAAAATGTTTTGCTACTGAGGTCCCATGCCAGCCTGTAGAAGAGCCAACAACTTCAGCAGGAACTGTGAGATTCCTAAAGCACRCTACAACTAAAGCTCAGCCCATCTCTTAAGCTTTTTGATTCAGGATTCCTGCAGCAGCACAACTGCAGCATTTGTTTTCGCACATTCTGTTGATATTTTTAGCTTCATTATTCCCATATTCCTTAAATTAAAATTGGGCCCAGACCAGGGAATTTGATCCAAGTTCCAAACACAAAGATCTTAAATGGTTCAAATGAMAGTTTAGGTCTGTACCTGGAATGAAACCAGAAGATTTATTCAGCCAAAAAACTCAAAGAGAAGAAATGTTTAGTGCACTGTAATTACAATCAAGTTTTTCTAGGCTGGCTGGAGGCTATGCTTCATGTCCCTGCATTGTTATCTCTAAGGTACTGTCTCCCTGTTCTCAGCAGAAAAGCACATTTTACTGGGAAAGAATGAGGCAATGACACAGTGCTTACACGACTGAGCGGATTTTAGCTTCTGCTGTTCTGCTGAAGAAGACAAGAAGAGCTTCCTTCTCCTGCTTTTTCTGTAAAGGAAAAGATAAACAAATTTGAGTCTCAAAAATGCCTATTCTCCCTATTCCTTACAGATCTGGGATGTCTGCTGCTGCCAATAAACACTGCTAGGAAAAAAAAAATCAGCCTAAAAAGCACAATAGAGGCTTGCTGGGGGAAGTCTCCTACTCGCCATTGGGTAGGGCAGATACTCACATAGTCCYGACACCTCCCTTCCCACCTCCCACTCAACTCCTACAAGTTGGATGACAAGTGTATCACAAATGCAGTTTTAGTTAGGAAAGCCACCAAAATGGCAAGGAAAAACCCCTAAGTTCTTACAGAACTCTATTAGCAACCTAGGAGCCTAGGACATGCATTTTMCACCCATACAAGGAAAACAAAAAAGAAAAGCAAAAATACACCCTTCATATTTTTGGCTACTGCTCTGCTCACAACACAGCTCAAGCAAGGCTGGTTTTGTAGGCTGAATGAGATTACAAGGCTAGACAGGAGAGTAAGTAGAGAGGCAGGAGATAGGAAAGACAATTAGAAATTACTAACAGGAGAGAAAAAAATAGAGGAAATGGTTTTTCACATAAAGGGACAAAGTAGACCACTTAAATCCAAAGCAAATCAAGCAGAGCTAGTTTTGATTGTGCTGTACACTCATTTAAAACTGTGCCTTTCACGTAAGGTGTGGCTCTGACCTTCTTTGGAATTCAGGGTACTGTTTTTCCCCTGATGTTTTTAAATAAAAGTACCTGAAATATCAATTGCTCATCACAAAAATAGTTTCTGACTTACACTTTCATATCCTTTGGCCATCTTCTTTGCTTCAGCTTCCAAGACAGCTTTGGTCTTTGCACTAATGCCTTCAGGAGCCACCACAACCATTTTGCGTTGCTTTGCTGGAAGCTGGGAAAGCACATCTGATTTCAGACGTCGGATCATGATGGACTCTTCCAGCAAAATTTTCAGTTCGGTTAAGTTGGATGATCCAGAGTAGTCCCAACCCCATGGCATCTAGGAAAGATCAAAGCAGTTATCARTGTCAAATCTGTAAGAGGCTGCTCTGCAGGCAATCCAAAAGCAAAATAAATTTCCAGGGAAACTGGACAAGGCAGGAACTTGACGGKCAGCAGGAGATTTAACAAAAGTGGCAATAATGTAGAAACGTACAAACTAATCCACCCAATGTGAAAAGYTTCCCTTTTCCCTATCTACAAGAGCTCAAGGAAGTGGTGCAGGGAAGACTATGCAGAAAGGAGGCAGGGATCCCTGCTCCAGCCCTGTGCCCTGGTATTGACTCTCACACAGCATGGTGTTGCTGCTCTCCACCTGCAGCTTTGAGCAGGCCAAAAGAACTCACTGCAGCTCTGTGCATGCACATTTACCTCAGCTTTAAGCAGAGAGACACAGAAAAACCCTCTCTAACAGAAGGAAGACAAACATCCTTAACCCAGATGCCTTCACAGTGTTGTTACACTTGTCTGACATGCGAGGTCAGAACCGCCTGTTTTCTGCTGTGACCTGACTCTGATCTGTTTCCTGACACACTCTATTTCTGCCATTACCAWGTTTGGCTCAGACTCAAGCAAACCATAAATAAACTGTGGACCAAAAGACATGACTCCAAACACTGTGTCTTCAAAGCTTCATCACTTCAAAGATCCTCTGAACAAGCCATTCATTCACTCCTCCTTGAAGCACTCCCCTCTGAACCTGCCCTATCCTCCAAGATCCTGTGTGCAGGCAATATACACCAGTTCAATTAATTCCAGCTCATCACTTCTCCTACCAGTAACCCCACACTCTGTTCTCTGAGAAACAACTGTGGCATCAAAATTGGTACATTCTCCTAAAGAAGCATCTTTCAAACAACTTTCTTTTGGAGAAGAGACCAARAGAGTTCTAATGCTGAAGCAAGGGAAAAAACCAAACCTCTCTGCTGAAAATTCACAAGTAAGTACAGGGAATACAGCTACAGGAATACTGAAAACCAAGGTGGAGAGGGAGGWGAAATCTTCCTCAGAGCTCTAGTTCTATGTAATATTGGCTGTGTCCAAAAATACAAAATCTCTGGCCTTGGAATAACGACCCAAAGTAAACGATCACATATTCCCTCCTGAAATGTATATAATGGAGATATAAGGAGCCTCAGCACCAATACCTTTGATTGGCTGCTCCTCTYTTAGTGTGCCACATTAATTGATGAAATAGATTTAACCTTAAAAATCTATATTGATTTTGTCTTCCCCAACAGAAACCTGCTACAACACATAAATGGAAGCAAAAGAGAAAGAAGCTCCCAAGTATTCACTGCATCCTCCATAATTTCCTAGAATGCATGAGACAAAAACTAAATCATACTAGCCAAAAGCTTAGTATCCTACTGACTGTATTAAGAGATRATGCTTTGATGGAACAGGGAAAAGGACATGCTGTGGGACAGGAAGAAGAGCAATCAAAGASCTTGTAGGCAAGTAAGACCTTTCTGATATCCAAAAGTGAATGTTCCTACTTTAGGTTGAGATAAAATAAAACAATCTGCAATTCTATTGCCATATTGTACTGATGTGAACCATTAACTGACTTCAGATTTYGGTACTTATGGCCATCATTAAACTYATTCAACTTAATCTATTTCTACATAATTATGGCACCATCTGATTAGCTACAGTTGGTTCATTAAAGCAGGAAACAATTCAAACCCTAAACACAAAGCCAGTTTGAATCCTGTAGAATTACAGCTTTGGCTCTGACAAYAGCCCCATGGTGCAGGGCTAGAGTTAATAAGCCCACCAGGATCTTAGCCAACCCCTCAAAAACAACATGAGGATCACTGCTCTGCTTCCCTGAAACCAAGAGTGCAACACAGATGCATCCCTCAGGTCCATGAAAAGCCAGCTCAAGTCTAGCTGGGTTTATTAGCTTTAGGCACTCTGCATGAAAGCTGACATTGCTGAGCCACGGTCTTTATGCTCCCTTTCTGCATTCCWCAGGCTCTGTGGGCCCAGCAGAGCAGATGTACAGAACTATGGAGGACCCCCCTGGTGCAGTGCCCAGCCTCCAAAGCYCACTGCCCACACTGCTCAGTGCACTGGTAGCTGAGTAGGAGGGATCAACATGATTCAGCTGCTCAGCAAGGCCTGGATACTCCTCAGGCTACCTTATTCTGCTTAGAAGCCCATGTTTTCCCACTTCCTACATCCATAACAAGCAAGTCATCCACATGCTKTGTGTCCACACAGCCAAATTGATTTCAGAAGAGCAGCACTGTCCTAAGGGAAAGAACAAGGCACAGAGCCAAGATACCATCTACTGTCATATTAAAAAGCACACACAGGCAGAGTCCCCACAGTGCATTTAGGCTATAGATTTCTTATGGTGCTGGAATGATTTGCAAACAAGGAAACATCCTAGCTCTGTGCTGTACCTAGCTAGTTATAAAGAAATCATTGCTTTTAGAATTATTAAAATTTAGTTTAGTATATCCTGTTGTGGAAAAGAGAGAAAAAAGATTTATTTTGCCATAATACACATCTGGCTTTGATCCATTACGTTCCAGAACACAGGCTTCCAACTGTGATTTTCTWACCGAAGTGTTACAGCATCTTACATGAGTCAGTAAACTTATTACAGTGTTAGCAGAAGCTGCCAAACTCTTACAAATTCAGAGCATGTGCTCAGATAGAAATTATTTAATATTTGCCAACATCTCCCAGTTTGAAAMATGAATTCACAGCATGTATTTTGGGAAACAGACTTGGGCTATCTTGTAAATAACACGTGACATTTAACTTGCTGCATTTTTAAAAGTACAGATGCTTAGAGGTTGAATTACAAAATTATAAACTTTTATAACTCTTCTAATCAGATCTGCCAGATATTTGCAATTTTTTTTGTCACAAAATCTTGAAACAGAAACTAGTCAGATTTCAGTTTTAAACTGAATGGATCAGGTTTTCCAATTTTTCTTTAATCTTATAAAGCAATTGGATTTATTATTAATATTGAAACATTTTTACATAACACCTTTCATCCTTACAGATCTTCAAAAGCCTTGCAAAGCCTCTCTGGTTCTGTGCCATTCTACCTCCAGTTACAATGCTGCCAATTTCAGGACAGAAAGAAGAACCTACTAAAGTATTGACAGCAGAACTACCACAACAGTTCTTCAGAGAGGATGCAGCTCCTGACATTAACTCAGGTTAGAGCTGCAGCAACAAACATGAGGGACACATAAGGGAACCAGCTACAATCATCCAAACACCTTTTAAATTTATTCATTGCCAAATGGATCTATGGCAACCCAATATCCAGCACTCCCATTTTTTTCTCTGATATTACGCATTCATATCTCTTCGTTTCCAGCAGCCCCACTTCTCAAAAAAACCCAAATTCTTTCTAGGTTCACGCTATCATTTGCTGGCATTAACTGTAAAAAAAAGTCTCACGTGAGCATGGAGAAGACCAACAATGTTCAACTGTCTAGGAGAGGCAGGTCAAACAGAGAAACAAAATTGTACCAGAAACCCTGCCGAGGTTTTGAAGGGAAGCTGATCTAGATTGTGACCTCCATGCTGAGTTTCACTGCAGGTTGAAAAGTCATTAACACTGAACACACTGTTACAACCTGGATCCTGTAAAACGATTTTATTTCTTCTATCCAAGGTCCACCTGCCTCATAATTGAAATTACAGCTGCATGTGCAGAACTTTACCCTTAACTGGGCTTATTAAACTCCATACCTACTTAAGACTCTCATGCTGCAAATAAACTTCCCTTTTTGATGAAGAAAGCCAAGCAGCTTAAATTGTATTTCTTCATTTCCCTCTAGGACGCATTCTGAAAGGAATGCTCAGAAAGGAATCTTTCAGTAAAGATAATGAAGGTTAGGAGAAGATGTGGCCTCTCCTTCTGTATAATTCCTGCTATGGATGGAGTCCCAGGACTGATGCTCTGCRATTCTGCTAATGGCCTTACTCTAATCAATGACATCAGCACATGACTACCTAAGCCAATTAAGTGTTCMTCTGACTTGCACATTTGGACATACACAGGAACAGCACTACACTGGCTATGAAAGCATGAAAAAGGAGATTCAAGAATTTTACATGAGACTGCAGCAAGAATTTTTTGATGGAAACTTGATATATGTTAGCTACCCCAAACAGAAAAGAAAGCAAACACGAAAGCCCTACAAATAGCTGTAACTATTTTTATGGCATACATCAATGATGTTCAGTTCTTCAGCAAATATTTTTATACACTGAAATGGTCATTTGGTGTTTCCAACCACTTTGCTGAACACTTCGAATCAGAGCTGTAGGGAGTTTTGAGTCCCTGTTCTGTGTCTGTGCAACCAGCACAGAGGATCCTAGAGGATCCTTGTACAAGAAGCAGCGGCAAAAGCACTTCTCTCAGCAGGTGGGAGGTTTTGTTTTCCAAAACATACAGCAGCCCTAAGGATGGCAAATCCAAGCATARGTGAGTTGCCTGCACCTTGGCAGCAAGGCAAACATTTGCTATCATGGCTGCAAATGCTGGATTCCTCTAAGGCCAAATTCTTGCAGTGGTTGGACTCAATAACTCTGGAAACAAGTGCTGTGCAGCTGGCAGAGGAGTTATTTTCAAGATATGCTGAGGATTGCATCAATTTCCTAAATTAGAAGAGGGTGGAATACAAAGATAAGACTACAAGTCTTCATGTTTTTACTCCTGGAGGTAAAAAATCTAAAATCCCGAGCAACTAAGTCCTTTATCGAACAGTAACTAAGACTAGAAACTGGATTTTTTTTTGGGTTTGTTTGTTTTTAAATCAACTAGCCCAAACCTGCAGCTGCTTAAAGGCCCCATAGCTACTCTGCTCCTTCAAAAAACTCAGGGGTGGGACGGCGGGGGGAACGACAAGATCTGATAAGAATAGGTTCCTTTCACCAGTTATGGCCACATTTGTTTGGGGTTTTTCCCCCCAAGCTTTTTATTTCCATGGCTTTCAAGGCAAGAAGCATTACTGCCTCCRTATCTCAGGCCCATCCCACTGCAGCACCTACATGTCCTCAGTTTAAGAGCTTTAAAAAYGTTACTCTGCAGAGAGACTTTCTCAAAAACAAGAAAGAAGAAGGAAAAAAAGAAAAAGCCTCCACATTTTGAAAGAAATACAGTGCTGTTTGCAGAGTCCCGTTTTGCCACTTTCCCACTGAAATACCTTCTTGGCATCACAGTAGCGCAGCCCAAAGGAGTGGAACTGAGGGAAGAAGGTTGGCTGGACAGCGGCGATCTGAGTGTAGAGCTCTGCAGGCCGGGACATGGCTGGGGTTCCTGAAAGCAGGATCACTCTCTTGGCAGCCTGGAAAAGCCAAGCAGGGCATTGTTATCATACAAAGAAGTCACCCCAGTACTGAAAGAAAATCCCACAACCCCCCATTGAAGTACCCTACATGGAAGAGTGCTTCACCTTCCACAGGTACTTTCAGCCGTCACTGCCTGAACACACCCAAGGACAGTGGTTCAACYTCCTAGGAAACAGGACAAACCACATAGTCCCTTAATATCCATCCACATGCTGTAAGGGAAGGGAATGTCCATTTTTACACCCGAACTTTCTGTATTGGCATTTAACCACTAGGCACATTCATATCCTATGCCTGGCTCAACTTTTCATTTGGCATCAACTATCACAGGAAGATGACACACCCTCTCAGGTAAATCCCCACCTCCAAAATAAATTCTCTCATAATAAACCTGCCACAGCAAGCCACAAGCAGACTGTTTCTCACAAAAGCAGAAGAGATACCAAGAAGGAAGATTTTTTTCTTAYTTTTTAGGGTTTGTTTTTTTTTTTTTAATTATACTAGCAAGGAGCAAAAAATGAAGCTGTCTGAAGAAGGGTCAGAAGAACATCTGACAGCCAACAGTGAGTCTAGGCACAGCTGGCTGGATACTAGAAACATGAGTTAATAAATACAAATCATGTAGGAAGATCGTAAAATGTGGTATAGGGGAGACAGGAAGAAGGCAGAAAACCTGTATCAAAAGTAGGTGCTCCAAATAAATGGGGCAAATAATTACACTATAGACATTAAAGTCTCCAAGATACACTTCTACCTTCATACGTCCYATTACCTAATTCTATTATTAGATAAAAGCTGTGAACTTCTACTGCTGTAAATTCACATACTGTAGTTAAATTAAACCATGCAGGAAATTGCACAGCATGTGTAATGCAGGTTCATTAAAATAACAAAGAGATTGTTGAGTGACATCTGTACCAACAGCTCATTCACATTTAAATGAAAAATAAAATTAAATTCTTTTATCATTTCACTGAGATCAACAAGTCACCCAGATCTATTCAGCTGTTTCATCCACTTATCAACCAAATTTAGTGGAAAAAGAGTTCCGGAAATTAATTTAAAGACTATCAGCTATTTATATATAGGGTGTGATCAAGGTGGGACTTGCCTTCTCCAAAAATCCCTATTAAACAGATCAGAGGGAAATGTGATCACCACCAGGATCAGACAATTCCCGTGAACATTTAAAAAAGCAGGATATTTATTCCACTAAGTAAGAGGAGAGGTCAAACCTTTGAACATGTCAGAAAGTGAGAATTAGTCTGTAGGAAGAGGTGCCTATGCTACTCAAAAGATAAAGGAGTCACAGAGACCAGAGATACCAGATCCCATGAAAAAACAGTGATCAAGCAGAAATTAGGTCAGTTTTAAAAATTAAGGTAACACTAGAGGACAACTGAACAGAACCTAGACAATATATGACACCTTGCAGAAACCTTTGAGGAGTAAACTGACACTACCCTGAGAAATTTGCTGAAACGCAAGACAAGCAAGTCCCACAAGTGCAAGAAACCTCCAAATTAATCTTGTGCCTCCTGGACCAACAGAAGGCAACTGCCAGAAAAACGAAAACATGAAGGTCATGGGATTACAGACATCTCATGTAAAAAAACTCTGGATCAAGCTAAAGCAAGAACAGCACACTCAAAACAGACCAGGGACATAATAATTGCAACATAAACCTAACTGCATTGGAAGGTTTTATGCCGTTCTCAGGGCTCTTCCTCTTCAGAGGGTGTTCCCCAGGAGCTGCACAAGGTGAGGCTGGAACACTAATTCCCCAGTAGTCAAAGCAATTAGTCAGGCTCCTTCCTCAATCCTTAAATAGGTGTCAAAAGAGAGGATGATGAAGTTACAGGTTATTTGAATTCTAAACTCGTCCAGCTGTTGCTCTGCTGTACAAAACTTACTTCTGAACAGACAGGGCATCCAACCACTGCAAACTCTTACCAAGCGCTGTGACATATCTTCTAATTAACCAATTTATGCCAACWGAAAATATAGTAACAAACCCAATAAAAACAAACCCAAACAAACCCAAACAAACAAACAAACAAAACCCCAAAAATCACTAATTCTGGGGCTGTGAAGAACTTCAGAAATTACTTCCAGAAAATTGCATGGAACATAGGTGGTCTAACTCATTATCCCAAAGGTCTCTTTCATTTTTAAAACCTGTGACAGATGGAGCTCAAGAAAGAACAGCAGAAAAAAAAAACCCCTAGCAAGACAAATTTTCAAGTGTTGAAGGCTGACTTAAATTCTCGATGAAAGAAATAGCTTTGATTCCCATTTCTTTTTCTAGTGGCAACTCATTTTGAATAGAAGCCAATAAGGATTTGCTCCTGCAGAGAAGTCTCTGCTGATCACTGCTTAATTCTTGTCTTCCTGCTGAACCTTCTGCGCTGCCARGAGTGAGCACATAGCCTCTTTCTTCAAAGGTCTGTAACAATAATATGGAATACAACCACACAAAATAAGATTGCAGGGGCCAGAAAGGACTTTCTAGCAAAATCAGACCTGTAATCAATTGATACATATTTCCACTCAGAAGAACTTAGCTTCTCAGTTGCATTTAGGCATGAAATCCATGGAGCTGATGGAGACCTGGTCTGCAGTTCTCATTTACTAAGTAGCCTAAGACAAATGTGGCTTTGTAACAYTACACAATACAACAGCAAGAATTAATTCCACAGCTGTGAGAACATTTACAAAAGTCACTTTTGAAAGTCAAAGAATAATTTATGAAATTATGGCACTTACTTTAGAGGTCAAGACCCAGCAACCAACAATTCAAAGGGGAGTAGGAGAAGCAGAGGGGTTATGTGACAAACAAATAATTGAACATGCAAAGAGCCTCATTAACATACAATGACTGTCTCTGTGTTAAATGAATTTCAYAGCATGAGCTCTGCCATATGCTAACAGACTGACATACTTTTTTAATAAGTGTGGCTGGTTCTGGCTGTACAATTACTTGTGTCCCCAGTTTTTGCTTACGGTGTCATTTTGAACTGCTTAGCTTAAGAACAGCTTATCCTGTGAAATGAAAAATCTGAGAGGGGCCATAATAAAATAATCATCTGATGAAATAAAGGATTTGATAAAGGGAAAGAGTTACAGCTGCTTTGAGAAGTCTGTTTCTGCACTTGGGCAAGAGATAGGGCTCTGCATTTCATAAGATGATCCTACAGTAATTATTCMAAAAAATATAAATACCTTTCCCTATTGTTAAGTGACATCTAGACAGACAATGTGTGTCAAACAGCAGTGATAAGCTATGACTGAAGCAAATTAAACTGCCTTCCTATTTCAAGAAGGAAAAGAAATTGGAAGGTAAGAGCAGATCTGAAGATGAAGCCCTGAGGGCCCACAGCTTCTCCAGTTTCAAGATGAAGTTCCTTCTCTCAGCAGGTGACAATAAGGAAAGGTTTATTTATCTAAWCCATACAGATTTGCAACACCTAAAGACAGCTGCTGTTTATTTCCTGACAGAAATGGAAATTTTTGTGTTCCCTCCTCACCTTCTACCTCCAGCATGGACCTGTTTCCCTCCATTATTTTTAAGTTGCACTATGGCAACRAGCACAAAAGGTTTAGATTCCAGCCACACAATGTATTTGGACTCCCATAATAAAACCACAGACCTTTAACCCTGCAAATATCAGAATGTGCATCACACTATTAACTGGAACAGCAGCTCAATGGGAACAATCAATTTAATAATATTACCCATATGTTGGGTAAAGCTTACARAGAGCACAAAGAGTATAAGAACATTTAATGTCACTGGAATTTTTTATTAGATAGTTCCCTTTTATTTCTCAGTTTTCAATGMGATTCTTCACTACTTATTGTCATGCTTCAAAAAAACTAGACCATTTTCYATTGGGACCTTCTCTAGTTTCCATTCCATGCAGTACTCCATGCAATTACAGAAGAATAAAAGACGATGCAACACCTTGGCTGGTCAAGGGCTGGGATCTCGTCAAGAGCTCCCACYACAGATAAGTGAAAAACTTGTTTTGTTTGTTTCTTCTCACTCTGTATCCCTGAGGCTTTTCTGATTTAAGGATATTGGTAATACCTATACTCCCTCTCCTGTGTTTACATCTCTGAGCCAGTCTAATCTTAGAAGGAAAAAGCAAAATGCTTACAAGAAGTTTAACACTATTGACACTGCCCCTGAGGGAAGCAGATGCAGGGCAGAGGTGAAGGGAACAACCAGTATTGTCAGTATGCCMAGGAGAATTTAGTCCCAACATGAGACTACAGAAAACAGCAAGATGACAAATAGGTCCTATTACCACTTGCCACAGCTTTGAATTAGGAGCAAGGACATGCCAGGCCTAATGAGACCTTTTGGTGACTCAGCAGAAGCCTAACAGTATGAAGCTATTCTCACTTTGATGTGCATGGAAACAAGACACAAAAGACTACTTTGAACACAGCAACTTCCACCCCTCAWATACTGTGAGAGGTGCTGCAGCTGGGGACAAATCTCAGGCAGCTGCCAGCACAGATCTGCCAGTGTCAAAGCTGGCTGACCTTGAAAGCAAGATTTTTACCACAGGACCAAACATGAAAGGACTGTTTTCTACTATAGCTTTCAATGCTTCCTCCTCCACAATTCTGCAGGGATGCACACAGACTGTRCAAACTCTGCCACCTGCTTTCCCGTAGGCAGACCGAGCATTCTCCCCCATGTACAAGTCTGCACACCCACAAGTTTGCACATCCACTGGAACATGAAGAGAGTAAGAAATATGACCTAAACATCTTGCTGCTCTATTTCACTCTATCTTATTGTTCATGCAATCGTAAGTTACTCTCAAAGTTCTGCCCACTAACAGTACAATTGGCATAACATGTCTATATATTTAAACTAATGACAACCTGGGGCAAGCCACGAGGCAGTGAGCACAGCCACTGAATACATCCAGCCATTACAGAAGTTCCTTGTCTGTCTCAARTAAAACTCTTCTAAATCTCTGTCAGGGTAGCAGCTAACTATGTCAGAAAAGACACTGAGTACTGCACGTACAAAATCTGCAGCTTTTGTTAATATTAAAAAAAAAAAAAAGGCTAAAAATTCCCAACTGACAAACTTAGGTGACATGTTTAATACATGGTTTTGCTTGACAATTCMATGCCATGCTTGCTCTGCAATATACACAAGAGAGAAGGAAAAGATGACTTATTACTGAGTGGTCAAAAACACCACTTCATTTAGAAAACCGGTCAGTCTCAAATATTAAAACTGAAACAAGGCTTTAAATGCAGTAACCTTGAGCTACAGAYTTCAGAGGTAGGGATTCAGTCGGGGTGTCTAGCAAGACAAATGAGAAATTAATATCCAAGGTAAGTCATCTTTATTATCAATGTACTGATTTAATCTGATTTTTGTGCAAATCTTTATGAACACTTGCAACAACTTACATATTTTATAATTCAGATAGAGAAATCACAAGAGCAAATTCTATAAAATTAATTATATCAAAAAGAATTAATTAATTAGGAATGGAACTGATAGCAACATTTCTGTCTCCAAAACATTTTACCTTAGATCTGACCAGTACCATTATGAACTCATAAATCTTTGTAGCACATAAGGATCAAGGATGACATTTCTTAAGGTTCTTTTTTTCTGTCCCTAGAAGTCAGTTCAAGCTTTTATACCTTAGGACATTGGGATCCTTATAGAAAATAGAAGCAACTATGGCAATTTCAAACAGTTTAAAGTAGTATAATGCTAACAACAGTTAGAAGTGGAAATGCTTAGAAGACAGACAAACAAGTCATGAGCCAGCTCCAGGGGCCCTGGTTAGAGCACTGACCCCGCTGCACACTGTGACCTTAAGGTAGGGACTGAGGTACTAGAAGGAGTTTACCTATCAAGGACTTGTCTATCAACCAGGGCTGGCATATTTTCTGGTCTCTTCTAAGAGCCCTTCTACTGCTCAAATCCTTTAACATAGAGAAGGCAAGAAAAAGAATATTATCCTCAGCAGCATGTTTAGCCACACCTGTTATTCAGTAATTTCAAGGTATCATGTAAAATAATGAAAATACTCCTAATTTTACCCTAATGGCTACTTAGTATAAATATGACATGGTATAGTTGTTAAATTCAGTATTCAAGTGATGAAAGCTCCTGATATTTTGGCAGTTATTTTGAATATGAAAACATTGGTGTGATGTGCTGTGCCAGTAGTGACCACACCATCACTCACTAGGAGCTGAAAACACAGCTGCCAAAGGGGATAGTTTTAGARCAAAATGCCTATGTGGGAAAGCAAGGAGGGAAGAAAAATGGYTATTAAAGCGAATACTCACTTCAGAAATTTCTGTCAGCAAACAGGCAAACAGAATTTACCTGAACATCTAACACAAAACATCTGGTATTCTATGCTCATTGCAGGTGAGATAATGCATGATATGAACATGAAACTCCTAACGCTTTCAGAAGACTAAAATTTAGTTTCAGAAGCATCAGCTCTCAATTCGTTAAGACCAGTGATGTGACAGCATAAAACTGTAAATTCTCAGTAAGTGCATACAGGCACAATTAACCTCTGCCTAACAGCTACCATCTTTCACTCTCATATCTTGCAGCCTGCAAGTAGTTTTGACAAGTTGATTCTTACAAAGCTTCAAGTAGCAAATGATGAGGCTGCTTTTTGAGCATTTTGCAATGAGGCAAATCTGTTATTTTCCATGATTTTCAGACATACACCCTAATTATTGTGTTTCAAACTGCTCATAGAATTTGACCTCCTACTTCGTTTCTAAACATTAAAAGCCTGAAGTGATTTGAAAATCAAAAGAAGACACGAGTCAGGCCTTTAAGGAGAACAACCAAGTTATTCAAGGACAACCACCTTCAGCTTGCCATTAAGAGTCTTGCATATAGAGGTTGGTTGCTATAAAGCCATCACAGATCAAATCCTCTCTTTATACACATTAACTGATGAACTGCTGAAGAGGAACTGCATTTACCTTCTTCTAATGTACAGACCCTGCAGTGTTTAGAAACTACTCATTTTAATTTGCACCTATTAGAGGCTACCAGGGAGAGTACGGTTCCATGAYCCCAGGACAACAGGCAAACACTGGAATTTACATTTCTCCTGGTAGCTCATATTTGATGACTACTGCCTCTCTTCTTGTCTTGCTAACCTCACATTCTGCCATTTTCTAGTAGTTCTGTACATGTAATCAGCAAGAATGCCCCTAAACCCCAGCCACACAAATACACTGGAAGCCTGYAGTAACAGTCCTGTTACCATTTAGCCCTAAACCAACACCAGGGAARGGCCCCAGGCAAACATCATTCTAAAGATTTGTGTGCTGAGAAGTAACTGATAACGACTATTTTTATTTAACAAGCATTCTGACACCACTATATTCTTTCTASTCTCCCAGAATACATTCAGGAAGTTCTGACATTCCCTTTTTCCTGCCACCACCAAACTCGTCAGTGACAGTACTACAATTATAGCAAGGGAGCTTCTGAAGTGGTTTTGTTAGGTTTTGCCATATAATATTTGTATGGAAACAAGTGGTAARGCCAAATTTTGCTCCTGGATCTGCACTATTACCTGGATTTCCCCCTGTACAACAAAAGAATTCAGTTGCTGGCTCCCAAACCAGGAAAGTGGAGCAACACTGCCCCAGGAGTGTGACACGAGCAGTTAAGAGGTTTGGCATCCAGCATACACACCTTGAGTAGAGGCAGGGCAGCTTGGCATCGTGCAGTTTTTGTGTTCTTCAGGAAATGGGATTCATCCTGGAACGAAACAAGCACAAAAGCGAAGTCAGTTCAGATCCATAATCCAAATGCAGGTTACAGAACAAATTCCCAGTATTCTCAGCTATCTAATACTACAAGCCTTTCATCTCAGAGGATATTTCAGGCACTGGGACAGTCATATCAAATTCTAAACAAAAAGACAGGATGAAGAGWAGCAGGCTTCCTGCATTCAAACCTGCAGCTGCAAGCAAATGGAACAAAAATCAAACCTTGCAGGCATGAATCATAAATGAACACCACAAAAAACCTGAGCAGAGGGAGMTGGAGAGGCAAAGAGAAAGATAAATATTACTTTCATAACTGATACTTATTTGTCCCTATGTATCTTTTAAATGCAGCAAACATAGCAGGCCTATCGAGTGCCAGTTCCCTTAATAAGGGGTTAATGCAAATGATAAGGAAAAAAGAAATCTAATTAAGATCCAACTGTTCTGCTGATAGGGCTCACCAGGTGGGTAATAGTCTCCTACTTCAGACATCACCCTCAAATGGGCTTAACTTCTACTGCAGTAGTAAGGCAGAACTTAAGACTCAAAAAGCTATCAGCATCCTCCAAGGGCATATTCTCATCTTTCCACGGGTGTAGAAACAAGCATGCAAAGACAGTACAACTGCTTAGCCTCTCAGGCACAGCCTTCTCCCTCCCAAATAACAAACAAACTACATTAATTTTCCCAGCAACCAAAAAATAAGATTTGAAGAAAAAGCAGAAAAAGTCAGCACTCAGTAGGACTACTCTCATCTGTAAAAACCTACACAGGGTCCAAATTTGAACATATAAACACACAGAAAGAATATTGCCAGTTCAGGGCTGGTTAAAAGTTCCAAGGCAATAGCCTCGAGCCTACAAAAGTAATAATCTGCATTTCCACCTTCACAGAATGTTTTGTCAGAGAGTGTGTAGGAGAAAAAACATAAAAATAAAAAAGATCAGTTCTCCCATGACTAGTTTGGTCTCCAAAGAACTCCATCTATTACCACATTCCCATCTAATGCTGAGAAACAACAAGATTATTATGTTCCAATTGTCATGATCTTTGGATAGGTGTGTATGCGTGCTGAAAACATCAAACATTCATAGTAAGCTACACAGACACTTTTGCTCTCTATTGATCCAAGCTGGATTTGAAACACTAGATGTTTTGAATTTTTCGTAACTGAAATCCAGAAAAATGCCATTTACTGTGGCTCTGTAAAAAGATAAAAACTGGAATTTGAAGTAATTTACAGTGAAATGATACAAGTGATCAAAGAAAGCTTAATGCAGATTGTCAGTGGAACACAARCTAAGGGAGATTTTTTTGATGCTTTACCCACATACTTGATGTTGAAAGGTTATCTGGTCTACTGGATAAACAATAACACCACCCTGAAGTCCAAGACTTAAGAAGATATAAGTCCAAGACGATTGTATTGACACACTACATTTAACATCTTTCTCYCCAGCAGAGGATATGACCAAGCACAGTAAAATCACACAGGCACCATAACCAGCAAAAGTGAAAACACAGCCTTAGGAATCAGAAAGGAATTAAACTCTACTAGTTATTTCAAAAAGTTTCAGATAAACCTCATGCTTGCACTCATGAAGACAGCAGTGATCACAGCCACAATTACGAGATACTTTCAGTCCCAAATAAGGCCCATTTCACATTTCCTTGCTGTACAAAGGCTACCCCACTTGCAGCATACAATTAGCTTGAAAAATTTTCATATACCACTTACAACAATAACTACTTGGAATGTGCTCTGAAGTTGCTTGTCCATCCTGCTGAGGAGATCAAAACTGATGATGTTGATCAAACTTCCTTTTAGGTTGTCTTTGCTGCTCACTATGACATTGGTGCTGTCTGGACTCAAGGATGGAAGCCATCTGTGAAATGCCTGGAGGAAGAGGAAAGAAATTAATTGCATTCTGGTGCTTCTTTGTCAAGATCCCAAAGCACTCCAGAGAATATCCCCATGAATACTTAGAACATGGAGCCACGCCATCCACCATTAGACATTACCTGGGAGCACAGTAAGGGTAAGCAGCCTTTCCATGGCAACCACCCTGGTAATAGSAACATCAAGAACAGAACTCAGGCTATAAGGCAAAAACTACTWTACACAGCAAGGGATGCTCAAATCCCAGCAAAACCCCAATAAAACAAACAAAAAAAAATCTGATGTGTAGCAGAAATGTGCATAACTTGCTCACAAAGTCACCTGCTATGCTCAGAGCCAGAGAATGCGGTGACCACTACTTACAGGGAAATTTAGTTTTCTCACTCAACAGGAAACCTAAGGCTGTGAAACAGACTTCTGAGCAGTAAACATCTATCACTATAGCAATGTTTACTCCACAGTGAGGGTGAAGCACAACTCACCCAGATCAACAAAACTCATCCACTACCTCCTCTTCTTAAAAAGTCCACCGAAAAAAACCCCMAAAACAAAAAAATACAAAATAAAACAATCAAGCTGACAACACACCAGCTGCTCTATGACAGCAGCTGAAATACATGTGGTAATAGTCATTCAATCAACCTTTTGAAATGCTCCACACACCAGAGCAAGATATCCTCCCCCAAACCCATCTGTTAAGCCAGACCACCCACTATTTCCCTCCTAATTCTGTCCCCAGTGACACCAAGCTCTCTGCAACATTTGGGTTCTGCTGATGTTCCTCTGCAGAAAACTGGCTSGGCCCATCAGGATCTGGTCCCTACAGAGATGTAACCAGAGGGTGACAAGAAATGGCATCTCTGTCTCCAGGAGCTTTGCCTATTGAAATCCYCCAACCATCATCCTTCCTGTCCACTGTTCAGCAACCTCATGCAGCAGCCAGAGGAGTTAAATCTGAGCTTCTCACATTTTTCACTATGTGAGAAAGTAATAATTAACTATCCTTCACCACTTCACCATCATCTCCCACAAGAGCCTTCTGAGCAGGTGGGAGCAGGGGAAGGGAGAAATCAAGCGCTTAAAAAAACAAAACAAACAAACAAACAAACAAGCACCCCCCCAAAAAAAAACCAAAACAAAAMCAAAAAAAGCCTCATCTTTCTTAAATCTCTTGAAGCAGAACATAAAAGTTTAGTTGCAGTTGCCCAATACTTGAGGAAACCTAGTCCCAAATTGTTTCCTGGTAGATATACCACAGAAGCAATGGATTCAGGTTAGGTGTTGTCCCCAAGGCCTCAAGATTTCAAGTATGATGAGCACCATTCCCTTCTTCAGTAAACAATTTTCTTTTCACTCTGCATTTTGTTGCAGTATTGGATATTAAAACTCACACCAAGATGGTCTAACAATCTGGTTACAGCACAAAACCAGCAAATCCCAATCAATACTTTCCTTATCAATGCAATATTCCTGGAAAAGCTGAACTCTCACCTCCTCCTTCTCTGGAAGGAATTTACTGACCTAAAACCTCTGGCTCACCTTTTGCTCCCACCATGAACATCTGGCTAGTCTATAGCAACCCAGGAGCCTCAGTGTACAAACTATGGCAGTGATTTATTTCAAGATACATTTCTCAATCATACAAGCTTTCTTGGGCTTTGATGAGTATTAATAAAGGACTCAGAGGAGTCAGCAGCATACACCAGACACGCCAAAAGACATATTATGACAGACATTTAATGATGATGATAATGGGGCCTTTTGAACAGAGTGGAGAATCCCAGAATCTGGGCCTCTGTTCCAGCCAAGGAACTGGCAAATACTGCTATGATGGGCTCGAATACAAGTCAATTGCTTGAATGCAACTATTATCTTTGACACTGACGAGTAAAATGCCCTCGTGGAGCCAAATGACTTGCAGGAACAAAGTTAACAGAGGGTCAGAGGAGATACTTTGTCTAGTTCTCCCTCTTCCCAACAGAGCAGTTGGACCACAAAAAGAAAATCAACCGATAAAAATAAAACTGGCATACATACAGTCAATGCCAAGCAATTTCCCACTCTCAAGTTTCTAAATCACTACAGTTTTTTGTTTCTTTGCCTTAATTCATTTAGAAGTTTAACTTTTGCAAAGCACAGTACAGTCTAACCATCACACAGGCTCTTTACTGACAATGTGCACATGCCCAAGCTCACAGTACCTCTGCCCACGTAAACCTCACGGAAGAAGGAGAGACCACCAGCAAGGGCCATTCCTGCTGGTAATAGGCAGCAATGCAGATGGCCTGGATGGTCTTGCCCAGACCCATGTCATCCGCAAGGAGCAAACGTCCCTTTCTGAAAATTGCAAAACTGGGGAAAACAGAGAGGGAAAGAAGAGTCAAGAAATGGGTTACGAGCTGGCAATCAGGCTGAGCACAAGTTATAACCAAGCCTCTAACCAGGATCACCTGGAAGTGATCTGGGTTCTCTAACCAGGATCACCTGGAAGTGATCTGGGTTCTCTAACCAGGATCACCTGGAAGTCATCTGGGTTCTCTAACCAGGATCACCTGGAAGTGATCTGGGTTTTTCAGTAAACCTGGATCTTCTTCCTTAGTCTACATGAAAGTGAGCAACTCTCACAAATCTCTCAAAGCTTGGAAGCTCCTGAACAGAGTGGTTCAGCCCAGTCCTTAGAGACTTTGATTTCATATGAGAAATAGTCTCAAGACCTTAAAATTATTTAAAGCACATTCTTTCCATGATATTACTCACATGGTGTTCCAGAGTTCATTCTGGCTGAGCTAAAATATTATTACTAATAGCAATAGYAACTAAGACCCTTAAGTACAGACTGTCCTGGACTGTATCTTGAAATCAACAACTAATGATCATATATGATGACAGGGGCATTTAAATTTTTATCTGTATATATAATCATAATTTTGAATCTTTTGGGGCCAGGGTCCCATTTCCTCATCCCTTCCCAAGTATGTTTAATATTGGGAAAAAACAAAAACAACAAAAACAACAAAAAACAACAACAGAGATGCACTCGGAAAAAGAACAATGACCTTACAAAAACAAAAAATCATATGACAATTATGTACATATTGAATCACAAGAGGGAAATCAGAGATGTATTCTTTGAACAATTTTTTAGACCAGCAAAATGCTACTTGCCACCTGACTCATGATGAATTCTACTAGAAATAAAACATACATGTCACTCAAAAGATCCACAAAAAAAATTCCAAACAAACCATACTACACCAAACAATCAAAAGCCTAGAGTACCAGAATATAACAGACCCTAGAGAAATGCAGAGCCCYCCACGGAGGAGAAGGCAACCTAGGCACCAATATAAATTACACAATTCTAGACAAGGACTAGCTCTTAACACCATGCAAAAAASCACATACTTCACACCTTCCCGCTGAAAGGGCATGAGGCTCGTCACAATTTTGGAGTCCACTGCTGAAAGGTCAGCATCGGGAATGTCTGTCTGTGATGGAGATCTCTGCAGTCGAGCAGCGAAAGTCTTAATTACTGCTTCGGGCAGCGGCTCCACTTCTACAGACACGAGGTTCAGTAACACTTCCACTGCAAAGAACAAAGCAGTTTATTATCTGAAAGGACAACATACACACAACTTCCACAATGGATGTCAGGACACAACCCTCAGACTCATCAGCAAAATCAGTTCCTATCCTGAAACAGCTCACAGAAATCAAGGCATCATGCACAGGTGTTAGCCTGCCTCTTCCCTAAAGTCTATTTCAGAACCCCATGATGAATCACATCTCCTCCCCTCATATTTAGACTTGTTTACAAAAAAGCTGAAACTCCAATGCCATCATTCAGAGATGATTGCTACTAATACAGCTGGAGCTGGATTATTCATGCTGAGGGCAGCTTAGGGCACACTTTACTCAGAAAGGAAAGTACGGATTTGAACAAAAGAGCTTCTGAAGTCTAGAACGCAGGGGCATCTTCATTTTCACCTTGAGATTCTTAGATACCCTAAGGTTTCCACCATTCCCAAGTCATCAGGAGTGACCCAAGACAGTTACCTAAAGAATATCATTCATCTTCAATTTTGTAAASTCTCTTATCCTCACATTACCCTAAATTCTCACAGTTGGGTTCTCACTTTACCACCCTTGTTTACTGTGTCTGGATAAGAAAAAAGGAAGTGCCTCAAGACTCACAGAAACAGCTCTTGTACCACCATCAGCAGCATTCTGACCTTCAGCCATCCCTARGCACCAACAGCACCTCCCTGCTCAGCCAGTGGCCACTGCTGTCTTCTCGACAGAAGCAGCTTGCAGGCCAAGGCAGTCACTTCAGTTCCCCAATACTACTGCTCTTTYACCCATGAAGTCTCACAACTTTACCTTCCCAGTCAGACTAAAGGGATCCCCAGCATCCATTATGCCAAGACCTCAGAGCCTTCATCTTTTCAACCCATGCATCATAGCAATCACAGCATCTAGCCAACTCTCCTCCTGGACAACCTTATTTTAGTTCCCTCCAGCCTATTATCCTATCCCTCCAAAAATAAAAGTACTACTTTTTAATCCAACAGTTAATTTCTAYAAAAATAAACACCAGCTTAAAACACACGGTGAACTGTGACCAGGAAAACATATTTAGTATTTTGCGACCAGTAGCTATGAAATGAAAGACACCTCTACACTAGGAACACAAATGCAACTGCACAGATTTTCACTGCAGGAAGCAACTTCCTTTTTTATTTAATAGTTGGTTTGTATATGAAGTCCAGAAGACAAAAAAAACCTGCTTGGAAAAACAACTGAAATAATAACTCACTATACCAGCAGTAAATGCACCAGAATTCAGTTAGGTATTTTTGTTTCAGTTATCTCCAAGAGGAAAGCAGCAGGATGGACCCCTGCCATATAAAGGGGGAAACCGATTCCAAGAAATATGCATATGAAAAGATTTCCATTTGTGGTTGGGCAATGACCAAACTTTTTAAACTCTCCAGTTTAATTTATACTTCTTCAATAGCAGGAACTCTTTCCACCCGAAGAAAAGCACAAGCTTGTTATTACACTCACAGACCGAGCTGTGTGTTACCATAATTGCTACAATTTGCTCACTGATAATTCTGTTGCTATTGTTCTGTACATGAGCTGGGAGAGTGATTAAGATATATCTGCCACCAGCATGATTCATCCAACAGACAGTTTTTAGTGAAGTGACCTTTATATAAAGATGACTGAGCAACTAGGCAAAGAGACATTAACCTCCACAAACAGTTCCCAGCTAACAGATCTCTCTACTGGAAATGGCAACCAGCCTTTCTAAATACTCTTTTTTTTTTTTTTTTATTTCAATGTAGGCAAATGAACAGGCAACAAAGCAAATGCTGTTCCTCTAAAACGGCACGTGCTAGAATCCTCAAATGCCCTCACAAATTACACTCGGCAAGATTCATGGAATTTTTTTTTTCTTTCTTCAAATCTGTGGGATTCTGAATACCTCACGTAATGCATACAACTGCCAGTCAGCCTAYGGCAGACTGGGAGGTGATGTGTCTGCTCAGGCTGCCTGGCACATGCCRCAAGATCAGGCCCTTTGCATGAAAAAAAGGCCTTTTGACCAAATCATGAGCAATCATCAGCTCTCACGAAATCGGAGCCAGTCAACATCCCAACCCTGCAGTTTCATAACAGTCTTCTCCAAGACACATTCTTGAACAAGACACGGCATTCCTACACAGCCCCACCAATGGCTTTCTGCCCTATAACTGCTACTAATGTTACTAAGACATGCATCATAGAAGCATTCACATACTCAATTATTAAACACACTCTGGTATCCTATGGAAGCAGAAGCCCATGCTGTAGAAGAACAACTCCAAGCAACAGCATTTCAGCTCTGAAACACTCCCACTTCCTAAGGATGTGCACAGAGCACCTTGCTTATTATACTTCTGAAGCTTACCCCAACCAAATTTCACAGCCACAAACCTTCACATGAGCACCAAGGCAAACACAGCACGCTGACTGGGATGATGAATAATAATACGTAGGAATTGTGTAATGCTATTCATCTCAAAGCACTGTATAAACTTAAATAAACGTAAAAACCTAGGAAGCAGATGTGCTAGAAGGATGCTGTGGAGTCTGGATTATTCTGCAAAGTTGCATCTGAAAAAACAAACCAAACCTGCACCAAAACAGAGTTCTACATTTCAGTGCAGCAAGTCAGTTTCAGCAGCATTACACAAATGAATAAAGGCAAAAGGCAAYGGACAGAAACTGATGCACAGGAAGTTCCACCTGAAYATGAGGAAGAACTTCATTTCTGTGCAGTGATTGAGCACTGGAACAGGTTGCTGTCACATTCAAGAACTTGAATATCTGGACACACTTGACTGGACACACTCCTGTGCCATGTGCTCTGGGATAATCCTGCTGGAGCAGGGAGGTTGGACCACATGACCCACTGTGGTTCTTTTCTACCTGACACAATCTGTGATTCAATCCACTGACCAGCTTCTACCAAGAAATAAGCACTGTAGCAACACTATGTGCATAGATTCCACTTGCAAGCAAAAATATGATGCTCTCTTAGATAAAATTTTGTTGCTAAACTTTCTTTYAAGCATCCAAACAGCACCAAAACTTTTCAGTGGAGTATGAAATTCAGCTTCAAAAATGCCTCTGCTTCAAGCAGATCTAAATACTTCTGCAAGAGAAACCAGCTCTTCTTGCTTGCCTCAGAATCAACTCATCTGTGGAAGCAACCCCAATTCTAACCTGCCACATACAYTATAAACTTAATAGTTCTGTGCTGCCTGCAAAGCCATTATTATCAGCAGTAACATATGAGGCTGAACAAAAACAGCAAGACAGAACCCAGACTGCAATTGTGGGTTACAGTTTTGAACTGGTTGTTGCAGAGGTCATCATCTACTACTCTGACCTGAAAACCAAAACTTCCTGAAATGTATGAAATGAACCAGCACTACATCAAACATACTACTTAAGGAATTAGAAGCAAAACTACYTGATACAGATTTGTTTTCTAAGTTTGCTGTGGCAGTTTATGAATTGCTATACACACAAAACAGTGCGAAGTTGGCTGGCAGTGAGGGTAAGGGGAACACAGCTAAAAKGAGTCAGTTTGACAGAATTTCTGTAAGGCCAAGTAGGCTTGGCAGACACCACATCAATCTCTTCAAATTTGGCAAGTGGGAAGAAAGGAATCCATTCTCCTGCAACGCCATAGGTCAAGTAAAGATGCTTTAGATTATAAGCTTTGTGATAGATCAATGCTCTAATAAATAGTATAGAAATTCAGTACAGAATTTGAGAAAGGGCCCCTAAAGTACTGTCATGAATAGCACACATTAACAAAGTTTTGAGTCTGGRCAAACAGTGTAAATGTCTGACAAAACAGGAAGACACTGGTCTGATAGTTCCTTAGCAACTTGTCTTTCCAGAGTTAAAAATAAAGAAGAAATGGAGTTAGAATTAATTTGCCCCCTAAAGAWATGCAGCTACTCACTTAGTTTGGGATAATCCTCCAGCAGGAAATTCCACTTTCTGGTATTCATATCTGCAATAGTTACAACAAACACTGTCACAAGTCTCTTTAAAAAAAGACTGAATTCTCTGTCCATAAGAASATGTCTATCCACCCATATCCTCTGCATTTCAGAACAGCTTTAAAAGAATTGTTAACTTGATCAAAATCAGTTTTCCTCTGTTTGTTGTCATGTTAAGGAAACAGTATGGAGAAGATTTAAAAGTATGAGCACACATSTAGAAATGGTAGTATCACCAGAGCAAGTCAAGATCAGCTCTCCTAATGAGCCCATCTGCTCAAGGATTTTGGCAACCACTTCACTGCAAGGAGGGATTAAGAATGTCTGCAGAGGTTTCTTTTTGAGAACCAACAAACTCTGACTTGAGTCAGTAAAACAATCACTTCCAGTTGTGCCTCTTTATCCTATAGTCRAAGTGCTCAGGAGGGTACAGGAAGAAATTTGCCAATTCATCAATATCCAAAATGTAACATCAATGCCAGACCTATCTGGCAGGTTTATCCCTGGGTAGCACCTGTGTRCAACATCCAGGGAAGAGTGAATTCAGAGTCAGGTGAAGACACAATGAGCCACATGGAGCCCTGCCCAAAGAACTAGAGCTCCAGAATTTCTTCTCCATGCTGTCACCTTCTGTGACACTGTGCATGTCACCTCATCACTCCGTGTCTCATTTTCCAAATTAAAAGCAGACAAAAAACTGTATTTCCCATTAAYATCTGAATGCCAACATAAAAAGTGCTCTACAATTACACCTGCCTTGAAAACATTGGTAAAACTCCTGCTAAATTGAATCTGCTCAGGCAGTTGCAGCCCTTATACACCACAGTAAAGCAGGAGAAGTAAGAGAATGTCCAGCTGCATTTGATAATAAAGACAAGAACTTTGCATGGTCTCCATAATGCTGGCAAATTATCAGCACATCCAACCTCAACAGTAAATGTAATCATGCTGAGATCTGAAATATCACCTTGGCTAACAGGYCCAGAAGAGGACATGTTCTGCCTTGGGATAAATCACTGGATATGGATACAACCCTAAACCAGAACCACATGAGCTTTTAAAATCTTCACCAATGCACATTCTCTTAYGCCCTTTCAGAAGATGTAATACCACAACCTCTCTTCTCTGAAGCGAAAGTAGCCTCAACAAGGTCATTATTAGAAAGCAGACAGCAGGAGACTCACCATAATTTCTGGAATCAACCTGTTTGAACACTCCAATCACTTCTGCAGAATACCCAATATCGACCTCAAATCGCAAGTGAGAGACAAGCACGCACTTCCCTTTGATGAGGGCTGAGGGSTTCTTCCAGGTCTTACACATCTTCAAGAGGGATTTCACATCAACCCCACTGCCAACAAAATGAGAGCCTGATGCCAAGCAAACTGCATTTTCTCCTTCCAGTGGTGCCAGAATTACTGATGAAAGTTGATTTGCTGCTTCCACTGGGGATAAAAGCATTGAGATAGAGAAAAGAATTAATAGCAAAGAACATACATAAGTTTAAAAGGGATGATGATTCCCTGCTTTCATTCATAAGGACAAAGAATAGAGAGAGCAATGGCCTAGAGGAGCAGGTTGGTGTGATTTTAGAATAGAGAATCCAGCAGGGGCAAAGGGGAACATGTGATAACAAGAGAAAAAGGGCCTGTCCAGCATTGCAACTGCACTAAGCTCCCTCTCTGTCAGCAATCCTAAAATGTGGCTCCCTAGGCCAGGGCAAGCAATCTCCAGAAGCACATKAAGTAGTAAATTGCTCACAGCCACACAGTGCTTTCACTCAGAAAATCATAGGGACAGGGGCATGGTGATTAATAGCATGTGCCTGAAAAGATGGGAAGGTGCTTCTGTAAGCAGCAAAGGAGAAAGATTTAAAAATATCTGCCTTCAGYCTCATATCAACATCTGATAGACAACCCACCTAGGAGGAATGCTGTGAATTCCTCCACAATGCTGGAGGAAGGAACATAGTCCAAATCCCCAAATCTCTTTTGTTACATGTTAAGTTCATTACCCTTTATTCCGTGTCTTACAGCTGACTTGCACTTCCCCCCAGCCATCTGCACACCTGTTTTGCCCATCACCAGCAACCTCCTCTGTCACCAGGGCATGGAGAGAGGAGGGACACAGCATTWTACAGATGTTAGCCTGACAACACAGCTATCCACAGGAATAAACATGCCACTTACCCCTGTGCTTCTCTGTCAGTCTATACCCATGTGTGTCTTTATTATTATCACTGAACTSTGGTGGTTAAGGAATGGAAATAGTATTTCTTTTATTTTCTACAGGACCAAGTAGTAAGCTCGTCCCCAGGACTCTACCTCACAGATACTACAGTAACAGAAAGATCCATGAACATCTCCAGAGTCCATTAGACTCAAGAGCAGGGGACCATTAAGCACACCCTGCCTCCAAGTACTTGTGGAAAGGCAACCTCCCTTCTCTGGGATCTGTTCAGGATAAATCCAGGTGAATCCAGTCCTTTGAGCACTGAGATGCACATCATGACACACTCTGCTTCTTTTTAAGCAGTCCAGAAAACTGATACACAACTAAAAAGTACAAACTTTAAGTTCAATGCCAGTGATGTGAAAATGGAAATTCAKACATTTTCTTCCTAATCAATTAATAAATAAACCATTTGGATTTCATCCAACTTCATTTTAAAGTAAGTGACTTCCTGAATAWATCCAAGCTTTCTACTCGAAATAAAAAGCCTAAGAACACTCAGTGAAAGTATTTTTTAAATTTGAGGAATAGGAAACCACCAATTYAGACCTTCTCCCAATGCATCAAGCATAAGATTTTAGACGCTACTGGTTTAGCATTGTGTAGYTAGATCTCACCTCTACAACTAATACTGAAAGAAATTAGGGTTTACAAAAAGCATGTTTACTTCTTTATTTCGAAATTTTTTCTACACTTGATTGCATATTTAATTTATAGTACAAAGAAAAGAAAGGTGATACAGGATCACATTATTCAGAAGAACTAAATTACAAGTGGGAATTTYAAAAAGAATTGTTTTACACTTTCAAGGCCCTTTAAAGTCAGTTCCCTTTACTCAGGGCATTTTCTCCCAATTTCATTGGCCATTGCTGATCATATATTGTCTTCACATGTTAACAGGAACTTTCCACAGAGCATTCATATATTTGATAGCTTTAATGAAAAATGCCTGATTTCTAAAAAACCATTCTCTTTATTTGAAGTTCCTTGGTGCAGAGACTCTGCTCTCATCTGTATTTGATACACTTCAAGCAAGCCAACAGCATTTAAATTATAAATGTGTGGCAACCCACATGGGAAGCTAAAATACCAGCACTCAACTGTGGTTTTTTAAAGTGCTCAACACAGGCCTAATTCTGTTCCCACTGAAATCAATAGTGATTTATCACTCACTTCAATACAGTGTGCTTTTGAAAAGCTTACCTGAAGTATTTGCCTCTATCATCTCTCAATCTTTCCAGAACAAAATGACAGGAGAGGAAAAAAAAAAGATAAACCCACCCTTGTTATACCAAAAAAAGGCAAATCCATTTTCAGTCTCACTCAAAGCCATGGAGAATTACCATTAATCCTTTTCTGACACACAAAATTAACAGGAAAAGTGTTTAAATAAGAGCWATTTTAAAAAGAAAATAAATGAATGGACCTAGAAATTAAGCATTAGCCACTGGAACATATTCAGTTTTCAAGACAAATTCAAAAGAAGTACCAGCAGTACAGCATATAATTTTCCTATGATCTTGCTGGTTGCTGAAAAAATTCAATGGCAGAGAAAGTGTACCAAATACAGGTACTTACATTACATGAAAAATTAAATTATTTCTAATTAACTACAAAATATCAGAAAAATGTTATGAACTAGGTGACTAAAAGACAGGCATTATCTTTGAGTAGCACCACTTTTATTATGCAAGACTATCAAAGCTAAACAACTTTGGAAAGCAGGGATGGAGGGGGTGTCAAGATTCCTCTTGTGTTTTATCATTCAACATTTACTTACAGACACTGCTGTAATCTTCCATGCTGAAATTCCATTTTTTCATAGCAGGATCTAAAGTAGGGCAAGAGTAATAGGGCAGAATATKAATCATTTGGGACAGAAGAAAAGTGGTGGTGTGAAATGTTTATGTGAGGTAAAAGTATTCAATCTACTCASGCAAACTTTTTGCCATACATCTGAAAAACAGTTACACCCAAGTCYACAGCTACATGACACCAAAAAAAGCCAGGGGGAATATCAACACTAAGACAAGAAGAACTCAACAGCCATTCACAGGGATCAGCCACACATGGGGGAAAACAAAAGTAAAATATAACAAATAAAGGCAGGGGGAAAAGATGGCAGGAAGCAAGCCAAAAGGTGGAGGTAGATTCCACTGCTCTCAGTAACTCAGAAAACGGAATCAGCTCWTAACTCTGAACTACAGTTGAAGTGACCCGTTTTCACATCCCAATTTACAAATAATTTCCTTCACTTCCAAAAGCCTTTGACCAGCTGCTGCCACTAAACTTCTCAGAGCATTGYTCATAAAGCAAGACTTCTAAATCCAAGCTCAAGCTATTTATGCAGAGAATTTCTATCCAATTTAATCTTTAATCCCCCATTAATATCACATATTCCATTCCAGCAATAGGTACACTGGTAAGAGCAAGTAGCAACTACAATAGCAGCAGAYGCTGAAACTTCAATCCAATGTAAAATAGACAATGGCAAACAAATAATTCTTACCATAGGCTTTGCTTGGTACTTTCTTAAACACAGCAATAAGTTCAGCATTATACCCTATTTCCACCTGGAATCTGTCTTCTCCATATTTTACACATTTTCCTTTTGTAACATTATTTGCTTTCTTATGAGAGGCAGCTTCAAAGGCAGAACCCACATCAGCAGAACTGGTCATCTTCTGCATCCTACCACTGGCCTGAGAGACAAAACCTCCCCCTGTTCTTTCTGTTGGTCTGTTCATGTTTATCAGCATTTCTGAATCACTCAGGGCAGTGCTGCTTGGCGGTGGAACATATTTTATGGAAGACTTGTTYTGAGTTTGTAAACCTTTACTACCATCAGGGTGCCCGTTACCAATTAATCTTGGATGAGGTGGTCCTGTGGGGTTTTTGTAGGCTGGATAGCATTTSGGCTGCTGGAATGTTCCAAGATTAATTGAAGTGTGTTGTCCATGTTCCTGATTACCAGCATCGGAATAATGTTTATGGGAATAACTCAGAGAATTTGGGGTTGTTGCAGGGAACTGCTTAAGGCCACTTGCTTGTTCGGAGGCCTCTGAACAACTCTTTTGCTGCTCTCTATGTGAGCCAGCCATCTGGTTTGCTGTGTAATGGTTATAGCCTTTCTGGAGGCAGCTCTCCTTCTCCACAGGATTGTGTGTATTCTGTCGTTGCTGGCTGRTGAACCCGACATGATTGTTTTCTTCCTTCGAGTTTCCCAGATTGCCCAAACTCTGTTCTTTCCCCGAAGGTGCAGCAACGCCCAYGTGCCCAGTTCTCTGGGCTGCCAGCCTCTCTGCTCTCCTAGCCAAAGCCAGCTGGCGGTTCTCTTCAATCCTTCTCTTTTGCTCCTCTGTAAGGCCTGAGGACATCTTCAACAATTCCACCTGTACCAAAACTACATTGGGAATAAATCACAGAGGCACTGCTTGTTTACAGGAATGGAGGCCAGCCTACAAAAAAAAAAAACAAACAAAAACCAAAACCAACTATTATTGTATTGCTAACTTAGTATTATTAGTGATTGAATATTACTGTAAGYGATCGTACACAAATCTGGTAGTACAGCAAAGCTGTCACACAACTGCTGAGCCATTATCAGCAAGTAGATGGTGACAGACACTGATGAGGGTTTGCATGCCAGTCCTGCATATATAAAACATATGGGAAAAGGAGAGAACTCCTMTTCTACTACAGTTCTGAGCACTGTTCTCTGCAAATCCCAGCAGAACTAATAAAACAACAAAGCACGGGGACCCTGCACTGCAGAGCCAGCCCTGCATAGGCATATGACAGTAAAGCAATAAATCTCTGCAGAGACTTTTGTGTAAGTGTGTCCTATTTTGGGTACCTGTWAGCAAAGATGGGATTACGCCCATCTTCCCTGTTCACCTCCGGTTCCTGGGTATCTCACAGGATAAAACCTTCACCAAAGCACATGCTACACTCACCACAGCATGTTCAGCGTAGCGTACTAAACCCCATAGGACAGAGAAAGCTCCTCCTGAGAAAGCTACATTCGCAGGTCACGGACCGTCAGATAGAAGCGAGGACCTGGTTCCCATCACATCTCCCAAGAGATGAGCTCCCAAAAGACAGCCCGTCTCTCTCCATCCGCTCCCTGCCCCATACCCTGCGTACTTCCCGCCTCCTCCATTCCCCACCTCCCTGCGAGCGGTGGGCTTCACCCTCTGCCCCTTCTCTCTCACGTGCCGGGAAGGCTCCCGTCCCAAACTCTACGGAAGTGCCGGCCCGGCCGGGCGCCCTTCCCTTCCCCTCGCCGCCAGCGACCACCCACAGTCCCCGGGGTCCCGGAGGTCAGGCCTKGTTCCCCTCCGCCCCGGAGCCTCCTCTGCCCGCTCACCACCGCTGGGCACGGCCCGGAGCGCCGTGGAGAGACTACAGCTCCCAGCAGGCAGTGCGCGACCGCCCGGCAGCACTGAGCGGGCGGCAACGCGCAGCCCGCCGGGAGATGAAAGCGGCGCGCGCGGGGCGCGCGGGGCCCGCGGGGCGCTGGGGAATGTAGTCTTCCGGCGGCGGCGCCATCTCGGAGGCTGCGGCGTAAAGCGGGGATGGCGGGGCCGCCCTCAGCACCCTCTCGCCCTGTGCGGCTCCGGCCCGGTACGGAATAGCGGGGACTGTTCTCGGCCTCACACAGCGCCGTGTCCCAGCCAGCACCCAGCGCTGTTCGACCGGGGCAGGGCACCCTCGCTGGCTGCTCTGGAGTATGATCTGGCACGCCAATGTGTGTGGTTCGTAAATGGTGACTGGGCGGGGAGTAAACAGTGGAGCCGATGTGTGAGAAAGGGTGGCGACACTAGTTTAGCAGTGAGGAACGAGTGTGCCCCCGAGGGTTAGGAGCAGCAGCTGGCATTGGTGTAAGGCTGTCCTCTGTCACTTTTAATATTGCTGGAGACCACGGAACCACAGAATCCATTAGGTTGGAAAATACCTCTGCAGAAATCATCGAGTCCAACCTGTGACCAAACACCACCAGCCAACCACACCATGGCATTGAATGCCATGTCCAGTCTTAAACACACAGAGGGACAGTGGCTCCCCCACCTCCCTGGGCAGCCCATTCCGATGTCCAATCACCCCTTCTTGTGAAGAAATTCTTCCTGATGTCCAACCTAAACCTCCCCCGGGGCAGCTTGAGGCTGCATCCTCTCATCCTGTCACTGGTTGCCTGGAGAAGAGCCCTGCCTCCACCAGCTAAAATCTCCTTTCCGGTGGTTGTAGAGAGTGATGAGGTCTCCCTTGAGCCTCCTTTTCTCCAGGCTGAACACCCCCAGCTCCCTCAGCTGCTCCTCATAGGATTTGTGCTCCAGACCCTTCCCCAGCTCCTTTGCCCTTCTCTGGACTYRCTCBGACACCTCARYGTCCTTCATGAGTTGAGKGGCCCAGARATGGACACAACACTCAYGGTGTGGCCTCACCAGTGCCAAGGACAGGGGACAATCACTGCCCTGGTTCTTCTGGTCACACTATTGCTAATCCAGGCCAGGATGCCATTGGCCTTCCTGGTCACCTGGGCACAACTGGCTCATGTTCAGCTGCTGTCTACCAGCACCCACAGGTCCTTTTCCACTGGGCCATTTTCCAGACATTCTCCCCCCATCCTGTAGTGCTTCCTGGGGTTGTTGTGGCTGAAGAGCCTGACACATGGTCATGTTGAATCTCATACCCTCATCTCAGTCCATTGACCCAGCCTGTCCAGATTTCCTCTGCAGGGTGGCAATCCAACCCAACTGGTGTCATCCACAAATTTGCTAATGGTAGAACTCGATCCTCTCATCTGGATTGCCAATAAACAGGACTGGACCCAACACTGATTCCTGGGGACACTGCTAGTGACAAGAACAGGTGAAGGGGTGTACCTGGAGGCTGTAAAAGGACAGGTGTCAGGGCTTTCTACAAGCAGAACACAAAAGAGGATGCAGGAAACTATGGACCTATCAGTATTACTTGAGGCCTTTGGAAAGTAGTCCAGTCYTTCAAGAAACTGTCACAAAGGAAATTAAGCAGGTGATTGGGAAAGCCAGCACAGATTTACTAAAGGCGGATCAAGGTAGATTAACCTGATCACCTTCTACAGCAAAATGACATTTTCTGTCTACATGGGCAGAGTAGTGGAGGTTGTTAGTCTGGACTTAAACAAAATATTTGACCATGTTTCCCCCAACCTCCTCCTGGATGAGTTGACCAGATACAGACTGGAGGGGTGGGATACAGACTGGAGGGGTGGTCTGTGAGATGGGTAGGAAATTGGCTTCCAGGCCACATGCAGAAGGCAGAAATCAATGGGTTTTATGCAGGCTGGCAGCCTGTCACAAGTGCTGTCCCTCAGGGAGCAACACTGGGTCCCACACTGTTCAACAAATTACACTGAAAGAGGTTTCATCTTGATATGAGAAAGAAATTTTTTACATTGAGAACAATCAATCAYTGAAACAAMCTCCCCAGGGAYATGSTAGGCCCCCATCACTAAAGGTTTTCAAGATCCAATTGGACACGGTGATAGATGACCTCATCTAAGCTCCCTTTCCCACRAAGGGTTAGATCAGATGGTCTTTTGAGGTACTTTCCAATTTGTTTAAGATTTTGTGAACATCTTCAAAATAAGGTGATTACTCAGATTTGCCTAAGTTAAAATAAAAGGGCCTCACAGGATATTAATTATGCATGGGSCTTGACTATACACACCGAGATGCCCTTCTTGGACAGTCGTGTTCCCCATGTGTGTGACCAGAGCAGTAACTGGGGAGAAAGCAGAGAAAAGGCCCTGGGGAGCACCATAACCCTCTCCCATCTCAGAATTTTACTACCCTGCCCAGTGGCAGGCCCAGAGTTGCCATCCCTGTCCCCAGATACCATTTTCTCCAACCTGACAGGCCCTTTGGCTCGGGACACTGAAGCCAGCTGGCTGTTTCACAGTTTATTCATTCTTCTCTCTGCTGGTTAATTAGAAAAGGTTATCATTAAATTGCTTCCTGATTGAGCAGCAGTGACTGCAATTAGTCAGGAGCTTGTCAGCCYGAGAAAAACAAGGCAGGCAGGAAGAGTGAGGTGCAACTCAACACATACCACAACCATGGAAGTGCTGTTCCTCACCGGGGAATCACAGGCAGACATGAGCACATCACACGTACACAGGCTCTTGCAAACACACCACTTTTAAATAAAACCACAAGCTAAGGAGACATCTGGKTCTGAGGTTTTGTCCCAGCTTCTCTCAAGAAAAGAAATCAAACCTTTGTGCCCATTGCAGGTCCTCTCGTTGCAGAGYGGGTTGGCTAGGAAAGKATGCWCAGTCCCATGGTCTCTGTCCAGAKCTTCTGCCTTTGCCCTTTCTTCCCCTGCAAGCCAGCAGACTCCAGGTGGCTACACAGCAGAGAGAGAAAGGAGCGGATGGGAGACCTTTTTTCTCTCTTTCTGGTGGCACTTTTAACTGCCCAAAACTAAACTAGATCCCGGTGTCACATGTGGATGAGACAGAGAGGGAACATGCAGAGCATAATCCCACAACTGTTTCCAGTCACCTTGTCCTTGCCAGCAGCTATCCAGTTCTAGGTCTCTGGTGATGGCTCCTTATGCTTTGGGAGACCTTACAGAAAAAAAAAAAAACCAGCTTGGGAAAAGTGGAGAAAAGGCCTATGCAGGGACTGTCCCCAGCTCCTGAAAATGTTGAAAGCAGAGCATCATTTGCAGAGAGCTCTTGGGTTGCACGGTCAGGCAGACACAGACAGACACTGAAGCATTTGTTCCATATGGCACAAGTTCAGCGAGACACAAGGAACAGCCCGGCCATGCAGAGAACAGACCTACAAAACGAGAGGCCGCTTGCAAGCCCTTTGCTGGTGCACTCCAGGTGTCCTYTCAGTCAGAACATGCTTCCAGCCGTGGCTTGGACTCACCCTCCACATACTGGGTCAGGGGGCTGAGATGCAGCGTGAAAATCCTGGGAGGACTGGGAGGGGATAGCCCACCCCAGCACTGCTGCAGAGGAAATGGTTCACCACCTTCGGAAGAAATGCTCCCAATAATGAAAAAAATTTAGGAAATGGRGTTCTCAGTGTTATTCTCACCAGGATCTTTCCATTATTTGCTCGAAACATCCTCCCATGGGCTGGGCTGACTGACTTCTGGCTCCAAATGAGCCAGAACTGCCTGTGTTGTACATCTTATATGAGCAGCAGCTAATACATGAATTACTAGTCACCCAAAACTCCAGAGCCATTCTGGAATCTCATGGTTTATTCTTTGAGGGGTCTTGAGCTGCTTTTTGGAGGTCCTGTTGCTGCCATATTGAATATATTTGCCCCATCCCATCACGTTGCCAACACMCTTTGGTGGTTCTCTACATGAACAGAGCTGGCTTCCTTCCTCTTTGATGTGTGGCCAGCCTGCATTCTCTGCTGGGGCTGTATTGCATGCAGAGCTGCTGTGTGTAGCAAAGCTATCTGACAGAGAACTGGAAATCAGCCCCAGCTAAGGGTCCTGAGATGCCCCAGCTTCTGAGASGGTTTTGGTAGCCCACACTGAGCTCAGAGATACCATGACCAGTGCCCAAATGCACCAGTCTTTGACCAGGTGTGGAAAACTTGGAGTTGCACCTTCTAAAATAAATTAATCCCACGTTCATGAGACTTTTCAGTTCCTTCCCAGCTAAGACCAGTCAAGTGCTTGGACTGGGGACATACAGGTCAGCTATTAAGAGAAGGCTGTGGTGCAGGATAGTCAGAGAAAGGCTGCTGGACTGGCAGAGCTTCTTCTATTTGGAGAAAACTTTTCTTTTGGGCTTCCAGGGACTGACCTGAATACTCTTTACAGGACCTGTCCTCTGTAGGCTGTGGGCTTGGGCTTCCTCTGCTCTGGTTTGGGATTCTCAAGGAGGTGTAAGCTGCCTAATGGGGAACTAGAGCCCTTGGTTGGAAGGACCAAAGTGTGCTTGGGTTTGGGGAGATGGTGACCCTGCATCCCCTACCATTCTCTGGATTTCTTTTCTTAGACAACTATTAATCCCCTTTACATTTCCTCTGCCACTGAGGCACATCGAGGACTATGGCCTGCTGGCCCATCTGACAGCTCAGGCCCTGTCCCTGAGCATCTTTGTAGGACCAAAGACAAAATTTGAAGTTTGCTGAATCCTGCTGTCCTTGAAACTCTGATAAAAGGGCATCTGCAGAGACTTTTCTGTGAGTTTTTCCAGCATGAGAAGGTTGCTCCCCTCCTCTGACTGCCAGCTCAGTGAAGACCACTTCTTTTTCGCTGCTTTTTGGCCACCGGTGCAAGAAAAATTAGTCACCCTCCATTCTTTTGAAGCAGCCYCTTTTATCTACACAGCTTGTTCT